GTATAGTATGTAAAATCATGGAGAAGATTATCAGGAGAAGAGTGGTGGAACACCTAGAAAGGAATGATCTCATCAACAGCAGCCAACATGGTTTCAGGGATGGGAAATCCTGTGTCACAAACCTACTGGAGTTCTATGACATGGTGACAGCAGTAAGACAAGAGAGAGAGGGGTGGGTGGATTGCATATTCTTGGACTGCAAGAAGGCGTTTGACACAGTTCCACACAAGAGATTGGTGCAAAAACTGGAGGACCAAGCAGGGATAACAGGGAAGGCACTACAATGGATCAGGGAATACTTGTCAGGAAGACTGCAGCGAGTCATGGTACGTGGCGAGGTGTCAGAGAGGGCACCTGTGACCAGCGGGGTCCCACAGGGGTCAGTCCTAGGACCAGTGCTGTTTCTGGTATTTGTGAATGACATGACGGAAGGAATAGACTCTGAGGTGTCCCTCTTTGCAGATGACGTGAAGTTGATGAGAAGAATTCACTCGATCGAAGACCAGGCAGAACTACAAAGGGATCTGGACAGGCTGCAGACCTGGTCCAGCAATTGGCTCCTGGAGTTCAATCCCACCAAGTGCAAAGTCATGAAGATTGGGGAAGGGCAAAGAAGACCGCGGACGGAATACAGTCTAGGGGGCCAGAGACTACAAACCTCACTCAAGGAAAAAGATCTTGGGGTGAGTATAACACCAGGCACATCTCCTGAAGCACACATCAATCAAATAACTGCTGCAGCATATGGGCGCCTAGCAAACCTCAGAACAGCATTCTGACATCTTAATAAGGAATCGTTCAGGACCCTGTACACCGTGTACGTTAGGCCCATATTGGAGTATGTGGCACCAGTTTGGAACCCACACCTAGCCAAGCACATAAAGAAACTAGAGAAAGTGCAAAGGTTTGCAACAAGACTAGTCCCAGAGCTAAGAGGTATGTCCTACGAGGAGAGGTTAAGGGAAATCAACCTGACGACACTGGAGGACAGGAGAGATAGGGTGGACATGATAACGACATACAGAATACTGAGAGGAATTGACAAGGTGGACAAAGACAGGATGTTCCAGAGATTGGACACAGTAACAAGGGGACACAGTTGGAAGTTGAAGACACAGATGAATCACAGGGATGTTAGGAAGTATTTCTTCAGCCACAGAGTAGCCAGTAAGTGGAATAGTTTGGGAAGCGATGTAGTGGAGGCAGGATCCATACATAGCTTTAAGCAGAGGTATGATAAAGCTCACGGTTCAGAGAGAGTGACCTAGTAGCGATCAGTGAAGAGGCGGGGCCAGGAGCTCGGACTCGACCCCTGCAACCTCAACTAGGTGAGTACAACTAGGTGAGTACACACACACATATTTTCACATACATATTTACACACACATACATACACACATTCATACATACACATACATACATACACATATACACATACAGAATCAGCTTGAACCAGGGTCCTGCAGGAGAAAGCATGACTGAGGGACAATTCAGAGTACCGGAGCATGTACCTCGATCGCGACAGAACACAGGAGGAAACGGTAAGACTGAGAGAGAGAGAGGGTACAAAGACGAAAGGAGGAACGGGAGGCATCGATGAAGACGAGCAGAACCCAGACTCGGGTGGAGGGACAAACACACCCTACAGAGACACCCACAGAAGGACTCCAACCAAAACAACCCCTAAGTAACTGAATAACCTCAACCAAAACCCACACACTGTTCCCTCTGCTCCTAACCCCCCACCACAAACCCCACACCACACTGTGACAACCCCAACACAGCTGAACAATCTCAACCAACACCCACACACTGTTCCCTCTGCCCCCACCCCCACATCACAAACCCCACTGCCACAACAGCTCCCTATGGGCACTCTGCCCTCACCCCCCCATCACAAATCCCACCCATACCACAAATCCCCATAGCCCTACCCCCAGGGCTCCTGCTCCCCCAACCCCAATATTCTCTCAGGTCCACCGTGATAGACAAGAAGCTGAAGATGTGGTACACAAATGCAGATGGAATAGCAAATAAATATGAGGAATGCCATGAAAGAATCAATGAGAAGTCCCCGGACATCATAGCAGTCACAGAAACGAAACTCACTGAGACAGTAACAGACGCAGTCTTTCCACTGGGATATCGGATCCTGAGGAAAGATAGAAGGAGCAGAGGGGGAGGAGGGGTTGCACTGCTCATAAAAAACCAATGGAGTTTCAAGGAAATGGAGGGCATGGACGAGATTGGAGAAAAGGACTACATGGCAGGCACAATTCAATCTGGGGAACATAAGGTAGTCATTGCTGTGATGTATAACCCACCACAGAACTGCAGGAGGCCAAGATAAGAATATAATGAGAACAACAGAGCGATGGTGGACACACTGGCTGAGGTGGCATGAAGAGCTCAATCATGCAGAGCAAAGTTACTGGTTATGGGTGATTTCAACCACAGGGAGATCGATTGGGAAAACCAGGAGCCTCATGGGGGCCCCGAAACATGGAGAGTCAAGATGATGGATGTGGTACTGGAAAACCTCATGCATTAACACATCAGGGACACTACCAGAGAGAGAGGGGAGGATGAACCAGCAAGACTGGACCTTGTGCTCACCCTGAATAGCTCAGACATTGATGACATCACATATGAGAGGCCCCTCGGAGCTAGTGACCATGTAGTCCTGAGTTTTGATTACATAGTAGAGTTACAGGTGGAGAGGGTAATAGGAATCGAATGGGAAAAGCCAAACTATAAAAGGAGGGACTACACAGGTATGAGGAACTTCCTGCGGGAGGTGCAGTGGGACAGAGAAATGGTAGGAAAGACAGTAAATGAAATGATGGAATATGTAACAACGAAATGCAAGGAGGCAGAGGAAAGGTTTGTTCCCAAGGGCAACAGAAACAATGGGAAGACCAAAGTGAATCCTTGGTTTACCCAAAGGTGCAGGGAGGCAAAAACTAAGTGCATTAGAGAATGGAAGAGGTATAGAAGGCAAAGGACCCAGGAAAACAAGAAGATCAGTCGAAGAGCCAGAAACGAATATGCACAGATAAAGAGGGAGGCCCAGCGACAGTACGAAAATGACATAGCATCGAAAGCCAAGTCTGACCCAAAACTGCTGTTTAGCCACATTAGGAGAAAGACGACAGTCAAGGACCAGGTGATCAGGCTGAGGAAAGAAGGTGGGGGAACTCACAAGAAACGATCAAGAGGTATGAGAGGAGCTCAACATGAGATTTAAGGAAGTATTCACAGTGGAGACAGGAAGGACTCTGGGAAGACAGGACAGAGGGGGACACCAACAGGGAATAGACCAACAAGTGCTGGACGATATGCACACAACTGAGGAGTAGGTGAAGAAGCTGCTAAGTGACCTTGATACCTCAAAGGCAATGGGACCGGACAACATCTCCCTGTGGGTCCTCAGGGAGGGAGCAGATATACTGCGTGTGCCATTAACCACACTCTTCAACACATCCCTTAAAACTGGGCAACTACCTGAGGTATGGAAGACCGCAAATGTAGTTCCCATTTTTAAAAAAGGGGACAGAAAAGAGGCACTAAATTACAGACCAGTGTCACTGATGTGTATAGTATGCAAAGTCATGGAGAAGATTATCAGGAGGAGAGTAGTGGAGCACCTAGAACGGAACAAGATTATAAACGACAACCAGCACGGATTCATGGAAGGTGAATCCTGCATCACAACCTTCTGGAGTTCTATGACAAAGTTATAGAAGTACAACACGAGAGAGATGGGTGGGTTGATTGCATTTTCTTGGACTGCAAGAAGGCCTTCGACACAGTTCCTCACAAGTGACTAGTGCAGAAACTAGAGGATCAGCCGCGTATAACAGGAAGGGCACTGCAATGGTTCAGAGAATATCTGATAGGGAGGCAACAACGAGTCATGGTACAGGATGAGGTATCACAGTGGGTACCTGTGATGAGCAGGGTTCCACAGGGGTCGGTCCTAGGACCAGTGCTACTTCTGGTATATGTGAATGACATGATGGAAGGGATAGACTCAGAGGTGTCCCTGTTTGCAGATGATGTGAAGTTAATGAGGAGAATTAAATCAGATGAGGACCAGGCAAGACTTCAAAGAGACCTGGACAGGCTGGACACGTGGTCCAGCAACTGGCTTCTTGAGTTCAACCCTGCCAAATGCAAAGTCATGAAGATCGGAGAAGGGCAAAGAAGACCGCAGACAGAGTATAGACTAGGTGGCCAAGGACTGCAAACCTCACTGAAGGAGAAAGATCTTGGGGTGACCATAACACCGAGCATGTTTCCGGAGGCACACATCAACCAGATAACAGGCGCCTGGCAAACCTGAGAATAGCATTCCGATACCTTAGTAAGGAATCGTTCAAGACACTGTACACTGTGTACATCAGGCCCATACTGGAGTATGCAGCACCAGTTTGGAACCCACACCTGGTCAAACACGTCAAGAAATTAGAGAAAGTGCAAAGGTTTTCAACAAGGCTAGTTCTGGGTCTCAGGGGTATGTCCTACAAAGAAAGGTTGAGGGAAATCGGACTGACGACATTGGAGGACAGGAGGGTCAGGGGAGACATGATAATGACATACCAAATACTGCGTGGGATAGATAAGGTAGACAGAGACAGGTTGTTCCAGAGAGGGGACACAGAAACAAGGGGTCACAATTGGAAGCTGAAGACTCAGACGAGTCAGAGGGCTGTTAGGAAGTATTTCTTCAGTCATAGAGTAGTCAGGAAGTGGAATAGCCTAGCAAGTAATGTAGTGGAGGCAGGAACCATACATAGCTTTAAGACGAGGTATGACAAAACTCTGGAAGCAGAGAGAGAGAGAGAGGACCTAGTAGCAATCAGTGAAGAGGCAGGGCCAGGAGCTGAGTCTCAACCCCTGCAACCACAATTAGGTGAGTACATACATATACATAAATGCACACACATACATCTGTATATTGTAAACATTATATACATATATTTTAATTTATTACATAGGTGTGTGTGGCACTGGTCGTTGTGTAAACAAACCTGGAGGATTTGAATGTTACTGTCCATTTGGCAAGGTTGGACAACGCTGTGAACAGGATATCACAATCTATGAGCCAGCCTTTGAAAATGAAGCATACATTGCATATCCAACACCGAGAGCACTGAGGCGCTTCTCAGTCGATTTGAACTTCAAGCCTGAGGTATAGTATTTTTCCTATGAGGTATAAATACTGAGAGAGAGAGAGAGAGTGTATGTGATGTGCATGCATGCATATTATTTTTATTAAACACACACAACTACAGTTTCCCTCACCCCCTCCTTCTAACCATTCCTAGGATGACCCCTTTCCCCTCTGCCTTGCATACCAGATTTGTACACCCTCTTCATCATTCTATATCTCTCCTACCAATCTAAATGTCCAAACCACCTCAGCAACCCCCGATCCCTCTTGAGTTATACCCTTGGTTACTCTGTATTGTCTCTTAATTTCTACGTTTCAAATCATCTGCATAAGAACATAAGAAAGAAGGAACACTGCAGCAGGCCTACTGGCCCATGCGAGATAGGTCCAATTCACCCATCGGCTTAAGCCAATGCCTTAAGGTAGTCAGGTCAGGTCCCATTCACTAAGGAAGGAGCATGGCAACTGACCTAGTAGCGCAAGCTGGTCAGGTCCAACTCACACCCACTCATGTATTTACCTAACCTGTTTTTAAAACTACACAACGTCTTAGCTTCTATGACAGTACTCAGGAGTTTGTTCCATTCATCCAGAACTATATTACCAAACCAGCGCTTTCCTATATCCTTCCTGATTCTGAATTTTTCCAAATTAAATCCATTCCTGAATGTCCCGTCTAGGCTAGGTATTTTTAGCACACTATTTACATCCCCTTTATTAATTCCTGTTTTCCATTTATACACCTCAGTCATATCCTTCCTAATTCTACGCCTTTCTAGAGAGTGGAAATTCAGGGCCCTCAGTCTATCCTCACAGGGAAGATTTCTGATACATGGGATCAACTTTTTCATCCTCCTCAGTACGTTTTCCAATGCATTTACATATATCCATTCTGTAATACCGTGACCAGAACTGTGCAGCATAATCTAAATGAGGCCTAACCAAGGATATACAGTAGTGCCCCACTTATATGGCAGGTAAGGTTCTAGGCTACCGTCGTAAAGCGGAAATCGCCGTAAAGTGAACATCTTTTTTTCCACTTATAAATGCACATGAACATTAAAATGGTATAAAATACCGACAGGTTGTTAGGTAAGACACATATGCAACAGTTAGGTATCTATTTCGAAACATTTCACCTACACAGTAGGCTTCTTCAGTCGAGTACAGAAAAGTTGATAGAAGCAGAAGATACTTGAAGACGATGTAATCAGTCCATCACCCATGAAGTTTTGAGGTGGTCAGTCCCTCAGTCTGGAGAAGAGTATTGCTCCATAGTCTGAAACAATATGGAGTTGAAGTGACAGGATGGAGCCTTATATAATGCCAGGAGGTGAGATGTAGGCCACTAGTAGAGGTAAGAATGTAGTCGTTGGGAGGTCAGGTCCCTCTCAAATCCAGCCATTCTCACTAGTAGAAGTTGTCCAGAAGTTGGTACAGACCTGAAATCAACTTGGACAACTTCTACTAGTGAGAATGGCTGGATTTGAGAGGGACCTGACCTCCCAACGACTACATTCTTACCTCTACTAGTGGCCTACATCTCACCTCCTGGCATTATATAAGGCTCCATCCTGTCACTTCAACTCCATATTGTTTCAGACTATGGAACAATACTCTTCTCCAGACTGAGGGACTGATCACCTCAAAACTTCAAGGGTGATGGACTGATTACATCGTCTTCAAGTATCTTCTGCTTCTAATAACTTTTCTGTACTCGACTGAAGAAGCCTACTGTGTAGGCGAAACGTTTTGAAATAAATATACCTAACTGTTGCATATGTGTCTTACCTAACAACATAAATGCATATAAATACTAGATAACAAGTTTACACTAACATATACTAAGTTAGCAATAGAACTAGGCATTAAAAAAAACAATAAAAAAGTAAAATACACATATAGTACACTCATTACTTACCTTAAAATATTTGTAGTCTTAATCTAGGGTGAGATGAGTAGTATATATTGTAAGAAATCAAGTGTGGTAGGTATGGTAGCCAGCCAGGCTACCATACCAGGCCAGCCCACCCACACATAATATTCTATGACATTTAAGCGCCCCAGACCGATAAAGTGCATATACAGTTCACTCATTACTTACCTTAAAATATTTGTAGTCTTAATGTAGGGTCAGAGGTGAGTAAATGAGATAAAATGAGTAAACGAGAGAGAGAAAATAAGTACATGAGAGAGGACACTCGCGGAGTTATATAAACAAACCAGGCGAACGCCAGTTTTGTAAACATCGTAAATCGGTATTACATTAGCCATTTTCCACTTGTTTGGCACATGCCAGTTTGTAGTGATATATTGAAAAGATTAGCCAAAGGTATGCTTAGTTCCCCTTTACATTCCTTTAAAACTCTTGCAAACAGTTCATCAGGGCCTGGGGATTTGTTAGGTTTTAATTTCTCTATTTGTCTGAGGACCATGTCACTAGTTATCTCAATCATGCATAGTTTATTATCGTCCTGTTCTACATAATTTATTTTTTCTGGAATTTCGCTAGTATCTTCCTGAGAAAAATCTGAGAGGAAGTAAGTGTTGGGAAGTTCACACATATCCTTATCACTGTTAGTGATCTGACCTGAGTTACTCTTAAGTGGGCCTATCTTGTCCCTAATCTTACTTCTGTATACCTGAAAGAACCCTTTTGGGTTAGTCTTCAAATTCCTTGCAACTTTAGCCTCATAATTCCTTTTTGCTTTTCATATTCTTTGTTTATTTCTCTCTTAATTGAATATATTGATTTCTTAACTGCTCTTCCCCTCTTTTGATACGCTTATATGTGCCTCTCTTTTGACCAGTGAGATATTTTAATCTATTGTTTAACCATTTAGGATTATTTTTGTTAGATCTAATTTCCCTACTCAGAACAAAAGTTGTCTGCGTAGCTAGCACTCTGCTCTGAAACACGTTATATTGGCACCCAACATTAGCTACCTGACCCATAGTCAGGTCATCCCAATTTAGCCCACCCAGGTAATTTCTCGGTCCCATAAAGTTAGCCAAGTGGAAATCTGGGACAAGAACTTGATTGCAGTTATCAGGGTAATTCCATGATATATTGAAACTAAGCGATTTGTGATTGCTTTCCCAAGCTCATTAATTAATAACCTCAAGATTATTAACTAGTGATTTTTTGTTGGCAAGAACCAAGTCAAGTAGGTTGTTTCCTCCAGTTGGTCCTGTCACAAATTTTTTTAAAAAGCAATCCTGAACCGTATCAAGAAAGTCATTAGACTCAAGATTTCCTGTCACATTGTTCCAATTAGTTTGTCTAAAGTTAAAATCCCCTGTCTAAAGTTAAAATCCCCCATTAACACAACATTCACATATCTAGATGCCTTATGAATTTCGTCCCATAGCAACCTACAGCACTCCCTATCAAGGTTTGGGGGCCTATAAATCACACCCAAAATTAATTTTTCATGACCTTCGAGAAACTGTAGCCAAACAGATTCTGTGTCTGATGTTTCTAATATTATATCTTATCTAACACAACAATTTAAATTATCACTGACATACATCACCACTCCACCACCCTTCCTGCTGACCCTATCAGTGTAAAATATTGTATAACCCTGTATGTTGCATTCAGAAGGCATTTCTTTATGTTTCAAGTTGAACCAGGTGGCTATACCTTGGCAGTTTACCACAGCTCATATTTTACAAAACTACATTAAAATACTAAATTATACTCTTTAACCATAACTCTGCTGTTATCTACATAATCATTAATTTTTTACCATTTTTATAGAATTTACATGATGGCGTATTAATGTATTGTGCGCAAAAAGAAAGTGGTGAAGGAGATTTTGCATCGTTAGCAATCCGAAATAAACGTCTGGAGTTCCGTTTCAACACTGGCAGCGGAACTGCCACAATCCAGAGTGATGCTCTTCAACAAGGCGAATGGGTTGAGGTGAGTTTTTGTTACTGAATATTTTATGGAATAAATGTGGCAAAGGCTGAGTTCAGAATGCTTCATCATACTAGTTTATACTTTAGATGCTTATTCATTCAGTATACATATTATACTAAAAATTAAATAATCAGGGAAAATTTTTATTAAACTCTAAAATATTGTACACAAAGCATGAGTTTTTTTTTTTTTTTATTTGGTCACAAGCTATTTAAATATTTAGGAAAAAAATGTAAAGGTGATGCAAAAATGTTGGAAAAGAATGGATTTAATGCCATAGGTTATCATTTATGTCTAGTGGACAGTAGTCTAATTTAAATTGTCAGTTTAAAGTTTTTTAATGTTTAATACACACATTTTCTAGTGACAGTGTTGTATATGGTGTATAATGTGTAGAAGAACATGCAGAAAGAAGATTCTCATAGAGTACTTATATGCGATGGCTTTCAAAGTATAGTTCAAATGCAGACTTGCCCATTTTACATCTGAAATGGTGTGAGATCATATGTATGCTACACAACTTTCTTGTTAAAATAACTTTCACTTTATTATCAATCATCATCCTCTACAACAATTGTAGAAATATAGCTGGGATAGGTACATGACTGCTGAAGACATGGGAATGTGTAATTACTTCGAAATTATGGTAATGACTCCCAGCATATCTAAAACCTCATTTAAAAAACATCAGTTTCTCATTTACCTTCTTTGCACATCCAGGATTGCTAATTTTCCTGTTGGATGCTACAGTTAATATCCAGAGACAAAAGTGGTGATAAATATATCCAAAATCATTTAATGAACACAGTAAGACATGCAATATTTCCAGATAGCAACTAGGCATAAGTCTGCGTGTCACTTGATTCCATGCTGATTTTTTAACACTTAATGGTATGTGTGTGTTCACTACTGTGAAATCAGTTTGTTGTTGCAGCTTTTCTATCGTCTGTTGTTGGATTCATGTTTAGCAGGGTTCTACTTTAATTACCTTTTGTCAGGAGTACATTAGTTCAGCAGTAAGTCAGTAAGTCATAGGTCATTAGTTGCAACTGATGATTCATCATAACATTCTGTTATGTCACAGGTCCGTGCAAATCGAACAGATCGCTTTGGTTCCCTGATGATCAATGATGGTCCAGTAATGAATGGTGAATCCCCAGGAGCACACCGTGGACTTAATCTGGTAACCCCACTGTTTATTGGAGGTGTGGACCGTTCTCGTATCGCAGTATCACCAGAAGTAGAAGTTACAAACGGATTCACAGGATGTGTTTCAAAGGTAAACCAAGACAATTTAATTTCAAAAATATATTTTTATTACTTTGGTCTTCTAACAAGGAATATTTACAATATTAGTTGCTTCAATGTGTAATACTCCTGAAAACATGGAAATAAGTTACTTTGACTTTATTGGATTTTCCTAGGTAAAATCGACAGTGTGCTTTATGGCTGAATTCCATTGTATCATGAAATTGTAACAACTTTGGAATGAATAAGTCATCTTCATACCACTTGCACACCCTGTTTGCTAGTAGGAAAGCTGGTGGTGTAACAACAGCTTTTGATTTCATTTACTTAATAATAATAATAATAATAATAATGATATTGGCAGTTTGGAGGGATATGTTGTGTAACTTTATACGTATATGCTTCTAAGCTGTTGTATTCTGAGCACCTCTGCAAAAGCAGTGATAATGTGTGAGTGTGGTGAAAGTGTTGAATGATGACGAAAGTATTTTCTTTTTGGGGATTTTCTTTCTTTTTTGGGTCACCCTGCCTCGGTGGGAGACGGCCAACTTGTTGAAAAAAAAAAAAAAATAATAATAATAATGTTTATTTCTTTGTAATGGTTACAACGTGTAATTACAATTTTGGTTTGCTTAGTACAAAGATAGCCACTATCATGCCGAGGCATTTCGGGCAAACTAATCCTAATACATAGTAACTAATTAAAACTAGATAAGATAATAGTACATAGTAATTATTACTTAAAATTAAACATAGAATAGTGGTTAGCTGTTTTATAATCTTATTTGGACTTAATGAATCTTATGTATACTTAGTACAAAATCTAATTTACAAGGAATGGTACAGGTGGTAATATTTTATGGAATGGCAGAATTAAAAGCCAGGAGATCACATGATAAAATTAGCCAGTAAATGTTTGGTTGATTTGGTTAATATTGTGAGATAAGATGATTTTTTAGCAGAGTCCTAAATTTATAAGTTGTCTGGGGATCCTTAACTTGTTCTGGTAGCGAGTTCCAGATCTTTGGGCCTTTTATGTGCATAGCATTCTTGCATAGTGAGTTTTACTCGAGGAATGTTGAAAAGGGCCTTATGCCTTGTATTGTGACTGTGCATTCTGTTGTAACTGTTAAGGAGTAGTTTTAGGAGAATGTTTACAGTGGAGTTTAAAGTTATGTATATGTAGTAGGCACAATAATAAGAGTGTATGTCTTGTATATTAAACAAGTTGAGTCTTTTGAAAAGTGGTGGTATGTGCTGTCTAGCATAGGAGCTGGTTATCACCCGCACAGCAGCTTTTTGTTGGATTATTAAGGGTCTAAGGTGGTTGGCTGTGGTTGAGCCCCAGGCACAGATACCGTAAGTGAGGTAAGGATACATTAGAGAGTGGTACAAGGTAAGGAGAGTTGTTTGTGGTACATAGTAGCATATCTTGGAAAGGATTCCTACTGATTTGGGAATTTTCTTGGCTATGTGATGGGATTGGGACTGAAATTTAAGATTACAGTCAAGGAGAAGACCTAGAAAATTGCCCTCTGTGTCTTGATATAGGGGAACCATTTAACAGTATGTTTAGTTGAATATTTGAGGCTCTGTTGCCAAACAGCATGAAGTAATTTTTTCTATGTTAAGTGAGAGTTTGTTGGTCATCGCCCAAGAGTACGTATATCTTTAGCAGTTCATTGTTTACAGTGTTTTCAAGCACAGCTGGGTCTGAATGGGAGTAGACATATGTAGTGTCATCTGTGAATAGAACTGGTGTAAGGAGTTGGGATACACTAATTAGGCATACTAGTATGTCGGACACACAGTTATCACCTGTGTAGTTAACCCGTAAACGGTCCAAACGTATATATACGTTTTTTCAACATCTGAAAGTATGTAAAAAAATGTAGATATTCTTTTTTGTTTTACATTTGAAAACATGTTAAAAAACTTTTATCTACATTTTTTTTTGTTATATTTGAAAATATGTAAAAAAAGTAGATCTACTTTTGTAGCACTACGAATTTGAACGTCGCTCTGTTTGGACCGTTTAAGGGTTAATCATGATGCACTGTGTGGACCCTCCTGGCCATAGATTTTTCAAAGATTTGAAGAGATCATAGAAAACCCAGAGATGAGTTGAGGTCAAAAATATTGGCAGGTGGCAGATTTGAAGGTACACTGTAAATAAGAGTAATGCTAAAAACTGAAGATTATTATTATAATCAAGGGGGAAGTGCTAAACCTGTAAGATTTAAAAACTGAAGAAAAAACTTCAAAAGGCATTTGTATTTGTACTACTCGATGTATGTCATTGTCTGACTAATGAACATTTTAAACATTTTGTTTCAGATCAAGTTAATGGACCAGGAAATACGAATGGCAGAAGCATTTGTTGATTCAGCAAATGTTGGTCAGTGTGGAGGATCATCATCTCCGTGTAGCCTAAACCCATGTAGGAATCGTGGAGAGTGTGTCGATAATTCTTCAACATCTCGAGGATTTATATGTAAATGCCAGGAAGGCTATAGGTAAGCCAGTTTGACTCTTTATAAATTGTTAAATAAATCAGAGAACATGTTCAGAATTTAAATTAAAACTTGGGGCTTTTCACCTTAGACTGTATATTAACAAAGCATAATGACATTCATATACTATATCATTATCAATACCCATTTATATGGGGAAGGAGGGGTGTTTGAAATCCATATATGTATTGAAAAGTAAAGGCTAGGGTTGTAATTCAATATTTTGTATTAACATAAATCTTGACTAACTTTACCGCATCCAACAGTGGTCAAGACTGTGAAATTGAACCTGGAGTGTGTAGCCTTGCTTATCCATGTCAAAATGGAGGCTCCTGCATCGGTTCTGGTGATCATTATTCTTGCTATTGTCCATTGGGCTTTGCTGGACGTCACTGTGAACGCAGTATGTAAATTTTATCATTTTTCTATTGCATATACAGTAATAGTAACATTAAAATGTATTCTTCACAAGAGTAAGTACAGTGGACCCCCGCTTAACGATCACCTCCAAATGCGACCAATTATGTAAGTGTATTTATGTAAGTGCGTTTGTACGTGTATGTTTGGTGGTCTGAAATGGACTGATCTACTTCACAATATTCCTTATGGGAAAAAATTCGGTCAGTACTGGCACCTGAACATACTACTGGAATGAAAAAAATTCGTTAACCGGGGGTCCACTGTACTTGTAATATGATGTAGATATGTACAGTAGTCCTAAGTAGTAGGTTGGTAGACAGCAACCGCCCAGGGAGGCACTACCGTCCTGCCAAGTGAGTGTAAAACGAAAGCCTGTAATTGTTTTACATGATGGTAGGATTGCTGGTGTCCTTTCTTCTGTCTCATGAACATGCAAGATTTCAGGTACGTCTTGCTACTTCTACTTACACTTAAGTCTCACTACACATACATGTACAAGCGTATATATACATACCCCTCTGGGTTTTCTTCTATTTTCTTTCTAGTTCTTGTTCTTGTTTATTTCCTCTTATCACCATGGGGAAGTGGAACAGAATTCTTCCTCCGTACACCATGCGTGTTGTAAGAGGCAACTAAAATGCCGGGAACAAGGGGCTAGTAGCCCCTTCTCCTGTATATATTACTAAATGTAAAAGGAGAAACTTTCGTTTTTCCTTTTAGGCCACCCTGCCTCGGTGGGATACAGCCGATGTGTTGAAAGAAAGATGTACAGTAGTCTCCTATATCTGTAGAGGGATATGTTCCAAGACCTACCATGGGTACCCGAAACCGTGAATAGTAGCGAACCCTATATATGTCATTTTTTACTTACATACATACCTATGATAAAGTTTAATAGATAAATTACACACACTAAATCGAGAATTAGCACTTTTTCACTAATGGGAAGCACTTCACAGTGTCATCATGTCTACTTTTGTGCTTTGGGGCCATTATTAAGCAATATTAAGTGTTATTTTTGAGCACAGTAAATTGTGGATAACTGAAACCATGGAAACCGAACCCATGGATACGGGAGTTCTACTGTATTACATACTGTACTTATACAGTGGACCCCCGCTTAACGATCACCTTCCAGTGCGACCAATTATGTAAGTGCGTTTGTACGTGTATGTTTGGGGGTCTGAAATGGACTAATCTACTTCACAATATTCCTTATGGGAACAAATTCGGTCAGTACTGGCACCTGAACATATTTACCGGGGGTCCACTGTATTTAGAAAAGTTTTCACAGGAACATTTTGAATGTAAATAGATAAAAATATTAAGTTCAACTCAAAAAATATGAAGATGGAATATTTATAGATTTATTGTGTTGAGGGTGTATAATACATTCTATGAAACTTTGTTAACTTGCATTAATCATTTGTGAATACAGTAAAGTATGCCCCAGAACTTGGCTGTTATGTTCAGCATGGATTTTTAGGAAGATATGCATAATATATATATTTTAGCATACACTTCATTTGAGTTCTAGCATTAACTTTTACAACATCATATAAATAAATAAATAAATACACTAAACCACCATTGTGACATTACAAATCCCTATCTAATGCCCACTTTTACTGTAAAATATGCTTCTCTCCTACATACCCTAACCTGAATTTCAGTCCATATAAATATTCTTCACTGATTTAAACAATGTATTACCTATTCTATATATTTGTAACATCTACCAGATCACTCCCCTATCCATCCTACCATACCTTTCCAAAATTTCTAAATGCAAGAAACAGCTCCTTACTCTAATTACAGTATTTCTCACTTAATGTAAATACTTGATCCACAGATACTCTTTCCATGTAAATACTTGATCCTTAAGCATCCTTTTTTCACTAATCCACTTTTTTGTTTTCATTCAAATCTTACATTGTCTTTCCTCTAATTTTTTCAATAATAATTGCACCATACACTTTGCCATGTATTCATACACATTTTCACCTTACACAAGAGAACTGTACAGTTTAGTCAATCCTTTGATAAGCTTCCCTTTAATACATACCAGTGTATTAATTGTAATCCTATTCATCTTTACTATTTTACTCCCTTATAACCTGTACACTGTCTCATTTCCTTCATACTTACCTCCTTCAAAAAAAAAAAAAAAAAAAAAAAAAAGTATCTTGATCCAAGGAATTTGAGCTACCTTTCCCTTCCTCAGATCAAACCTAATTGCCTCACATTATCCAGGCATAAAGTAACTTTTCTGGGTTTAGTTCTTCCCCCTCATAATCATCCTCACTTCAGGCTCTGCTCTTGCCTAAGAAATCATATTCCTTTCTGTCATTTACATGAATTCACTGTCTACTTTTCATCATCCTTGTTCAGTAACTACAAAATATTTTTTTTAATAACTACCTTCCCATACTTTTTCATCTTTCTATCTGTCTCTAAAACTGTTTTTTTTTTAAACACATCGGCCGATTCCCACCAAGGCAGGGCGGCCCAAAAAAGAAAAACTTTCATCATTCACTCCATCACTGTCTTGCCAGAGGGGTGTTTACACTACAGTTTTTAAACTGCAACATTAACACCCCTCCTTCAGAGTGTAGACACTGTACTTCCCATCTCCAGGACTCAAGTCTGGCCTGCTGGCTTCCCTGAATCCCTTCATAAATGTTACTTTGCTCACACTCCAACAGCATGTCAGGTATTAAAAACCATTTGTCCCCATTCACTCCTATCAAATATGCTCACACACGCTTGCTGGAAGTCCAAGCCCCTCACACACAAAGCCTCCTATACCCCCTCCATCCATCCCTTCCTAGGCCGACCCCTACCCCACCTTCCCTCCACTACAGATATATACACTCTCAAAGTCATTCTGTTTTGTTCCATTCTATCTACATGTCCAAACCACCTCAACAACCCCTCCTCTTTCTCTGAGCATAATTTGCTAATAGACTCATCAATTCTCTCATTTACTCTTTATTTTGCATTTTCTCACTACTTTTCCCTTCTCTGCAGTCTCTACAACTGAATAAAAATTATATCATTTACATCTTTATAAACATTCAAATCCTAATTATTTTAAAAAGTACAGCTTCAGAATTTTCATTTTAGTAATTGTAAACAAAAACTTATAGAGATGTCCCGTGCTTTGGGTTAGATGGGTTTCTGGCTGAAAAATGGGTTCATTCAAGAGTAGGTTTTACTGCTTATAAGAAATTTCTGGTAGAAATAGGGTCATCACATATGAGCAAATTCACATTGAAAATCTCAGATTTATAACTTTAGAGTGCATTTCAAGAATCAGTGCAGGTTTAAGTATTGGTGTAGTATTTGCTGATATTAATGACATTTCCCAAAATTGATAATGTTTATTTAGTAACTACATTACACCTAATTGATGTATTTATATTTTATTTCAAATTAGTTGTTGACGTTGAAGGTTCAGCTTCCTTCTCGGGAGATTCCTGGGTCGAGTTTAATCAGTCATTGCTGTCTCAAGAAGGTGGGGCATCCCAGAAACTTTCTCTTGATTTCACCACACACAAATCTGAAGGTCTTCTGTTTTGGTATGGTCAAGAATCTAATGTGTCTGGGCGAGGACAGGACTACATAAGTGTTGCTAGTAAGTCTTATTTAAGTTACAAGTTTAGATGTGATAACTAAATAATTTAACAATAGAGACTTTTCCCAAGGGTAATGACACTAAAAGTATGAAATTTGATGGAAAACTTACGAAATTATGCTTTTGCAAAGTTTGCAGTCTCGGTGATGTTTAAATATCAGCAATTTTGCCCACTGAATCCTATTTTAGACCAATTATTATTATTATTATAATCATAACTAAGTACTAAACCCATGAAGGTCATACAGCACTGCTTTTAGGCCAATTTCATTGTTCCTGTCAACCAAATTCTTAGCTGTTTCACAAGTATGCCTTCCATTCTGTCAACTGAGCACAAGAAATCACCCATTTAACTATTTTAACTACCCAATAATGTGATCAGAAGTTGGAAATTTGGCCAATTTCACACAAATTTCAAAATATTCTAACTTCAAAACAGAGTCCAGAGTAAACAGTGCAGGCATTCCTGGCACTAAAGTAACATTTCCTATATTCATTAGTTGCTTTCTCAGGCTTTACATATGAATTCCATTTTGATTTTATATTCACACAAAAAAATTTTATTCACACAAACAGTAGAAGATTTACTGTTATGCAATATTGTAATAATTGTATAAATTATATCAGCGCATTTGTTAACACACATTAGACCCACCAGTTGGGCTTGTATTGGATGAGTGACGTGATTTGTTTACTCTTGAATATTTGCAAAAATTGAAATTCAGCTACTTTGATTTAATTTCAAGCTATTTTCAGTCCTGAAACCAATCAAATTCATCTCTATTTCTGCAGTATATTTTTCACTCTATAAAATGAGACCAAGAAACCAAGAATACAACCATAAAAACTATATGAAAATACACTGCAAAGTCGTTGTTTTGAACCAATAACACTGTTTCAATTTTTTTTTCTGCAGGATTTTTTTTTATGTGGTGCACACTTATCGCATAGACCCATTTTCTTGTATCTAGGCCCAAATTTACCGCTCACAGCTTATATGAGTGAGCTGAGCTCATGGCTTAGTACTATGGCACCGACAGTGACCTCAAACCTGTAGTACTACAGCACAGACAGTGTAAAGGGTTAAATATCATAAAACAAACTTTTAAAAAATTTCTTGGCATACATCGTAGTTGCTTCTCATAAAACGTGAAAAATTGAGTTTTTTTCTTGCTTGTTGACCTGCAAGTTTTGCAAATAGGGTTAATGTGGCCCTACTAAGCTGAGGAAGATCACTGTTATTCTTGTTTTGATGCAGATGTGGAGTTATCAGTGGCTGTACTTTTTAAATGTACTATAATGTGTCTGCTCTGTCTGTTGATGCCAAGTAGTCCCTGTGTATCAAGACCATACACACATTATGCAGAGTACATATACACTGAGTATACACTGTGTACCTAGTACACACATTATGTTGAGTATACTGTGCTGATTACACTATATCCTGAGTGTACATACTGTATGAATGCATATTGTACCGTGTATGTATTTTAGAGGAAATATATTTTAATTTTCTGTTTCAGTTAATAGAGGTTATGTGGAGTTTAGCTACGAACTAGGAAATGGGCCTGCTTTGGTCCGATCATCAGGGCGTGTAGACAATGGAGAACGTCATACTTTGATAGTCAAACGAACAGAACGGGAAGGTTCATTACAATTAGACACATCTTCACCTGTATTTGGACAAAGCCCTGGTGTACTTCATATGCTCAATGCAAATGGAAATATATACATTGGTGAGGATTATTAAATCTATTACTGCACTAAGGCACTGGTATAATTTATCAAATAGTTTAATTATTTTACTGAACTGCATAACAAATACACAGTATTACTCTGATAATAATTTTGTTTTTCAACAGGAGGAGTACCAGATTTTCCTCTAATGACTGCAGGAGCTCATACAAGGGGATTTGAAGGATGTATCCATAGGTTAATTATTGGCGATGAAAAAGTTGTAAACTTTAAAAATTTAGCTGTCTCAGGTGTCAATGTCACTCCTTGTCCACGGTGAGTAAATCATTTGTGCATGTTACATTCACATTTCTTATTTTTTTTTATTTGGTCATTTCCATTACCTTTGATTATCTTGTTTATCTACTGTATATACTCGAATATAGGTTCTAAGGCCAGTTATTTAGGAAAAAGTAGGGGGTTGACTTATTCATGGGTAATATTTCTGAAGGGTTGAATTTATAAATTGTAATCCACGTACTGAAGAATGTAAGTACAGGTCTCCCTCAACATTCACGTTTTCAGCTTTCGCGGGCTTCACACATTCGCGAATTCCCAACCGCCAAATTCCCAGCCACCAAATCATATTCAAGTTTCCCGCCACCTGCGAGTCCCTACTACCCTCCCTCCTACCCCCGCAACTGGCAGCCAGCCCTCCCACCACTCAGTGTGGTGAGTGTTTTGTTTGTTCATTATTTGCTATTAAACTGCAGTATAAATAATGTAAACCCATTCATGACTGCATATTGGAATGGTTTTTCGGACAGGTATTAGACGGTGACATGTGTTTACTCTTGAACACAGCAAAGAATCAAACATTTTTGTACTG